ATATATATATAAGCGAAGGTGTGATGTTGTATAACGTGTACATAGGCGAGCTACATCCTATGCATATATATCTGTGTACATACATATCATGTAAATATGCACGTGCATATGTATGCATAATTTTATACAAAGTGTACGAAGATTGAAACGAAAAAATACAACAGACAAATTATGACTTTAAACGAATTAATAAGCCAGAACATAGTGGTGATTCCACGAAGAAATACGGACGAAGAACTGTTCCGACGACCCTAGACACGAAAGACTAAATGGAAATAGATACATTAAGTTAGCGAAAAATTGTGAAGCAGCTCGATACATCGATTCACTTACCCTCTCCGTATCCTTGCTTCTTTACTACGGAGCACATGAAGATTTCAATCGGTCGAGTCTCGTTAAGTGTAACCTTGCCTTTGCCAGTGGTAGCACCCTGTAGCCCCAATGCCATACGCAAATCATCTTCACTTGTGGCGTACTGCTTGTCAATCTTGTTACCCAGAATTAAGAACGGGACTGATCCCAGTTCCTCTGATGATAGCAGAGCCTGGTTATTTAGCAAATAATATAAAATTGGGGTGAGAAGACTAAATCGCGATACACGTGTTTCAGACAACACATGGAGGTACAGAGTGGATATACCATTGTGCGCCACATGAGGGTGCTGTGTACCAATCGCTGTCATTCATTAATTAGACAACGTCCCCAAACAGAGTCGCGAACTCTTATACCAAAGACTAGCAAACGAACATTGACATTCCCTACGACTCTTCATCATGTGCAAACAACATGAATTTGAACAAGTATAACAACTTAAACGTCAGGGAAAACGCGACGCAGTTATGTAGACTTGGTACACAATGAGTTATATCATCAAATTAAAGTGAGTAATGCCCTGATATATCCATTCTATAACGAGAGATAGGTACTACCAATAAGGTGTTTGGTGGGTTGCCACATAGCAATTGCATATACGACAATGACGAACGTGAGATGCTGAATTGGACGAATATACAAATTCGACTTTCTAAGCCAAAGAAATCCGCTCAGATATTCGAGACGAAGAAAAATGACGCAGAAATACACCAAAATCACACCTTCAAACTAAGGTGTCAAGAGCCTAAACTACACACAAAAATACCACATACATCCAGCTCAGCCTTTGACTCGTTAAGTCTTTCTCTATCGGCAGCATCGACGAGGTATACGATAGCATCGACCGATGGGTAGTAGTCACGCCATACGCGACGCGCCTGAGCGTGACCTCCTAGATCAAAGGTACGGAATTTGATCCCACCAATGGCCAACTCCTCCATAGCTGGTACACAACAGCAAGGTGTAGTTCATATTATGAGCGGTAATTTTATGCAATTTAAAAAAATGTACAAAGATAGACGATCAAGAACTATGAACAAGGCATAACAGTACGATACAACTAACAGACGACTAAAAAAATAAACACGAAGCACGAAAAACTCCAACAACGAGACAATAATGATGTATATATATATACATATATATATATATACATATATATATATATACATATATATATATATATATATATAAAGATATATATATAA